GTCTTATGTCCCGTGCCAGAGAGGGGATCTTTAAAGCTCTTGGCTGAAAAGCTCGCGTTTGATTTTTTTTTCTTTTTTTTTTAATAAAAGGTTTTGCAAGAGACTCTTGTTCTCCAGGAGTGCATCCGCCCTCAAGCGCGATTCCCCCGGGAGCAGCTGCGCGCACAGGAGGGATGAGCTGGCACAGGCACCGTGTGCCGCGGTGCCGGGGGCGTTCGGCAGGGCTGGCCATGGCCCCAGGTCCCCACAGCCCCGGGACCCCCCGAAAATCCGGTTGTATCATGGGGGCTTCAGGCCCTCCTTGCAGCACAGAGACATGGAGCCCTTGCAAGGAAGGGAAAAGCTCCAGAAGTGCCAGGGCCCTTCAGGGAAGAGCCTATAGCCCCAAGGATGGTGCTTCCTGCCCCAGGGATGGCGCTTCCCACCCCAGGGATTGCCCTTCCAGCCCCAGGGATGGTGCTTCCCACCCCCGGACTTTGCTCTGTGCCTTACACCTAAGCAAGCCCAAACCCTTCCTAGATGTCCATGGCCACCCCTTATTTCCAAGGAAGTTCCCTGACATTCCCTCATCACCCAACAAGTCCCACTTAGCCCATACCTGAAACCAGGAACGTGCATATACGTACAAATCATGAAGTCCGTCAGACTGCCTGGTCCTATGACAGTTTCCTTTGCAGCAAATTACTATTGCATAAATGCAGTAGACATGAAATATGAAGCCAGAAATTGCCAGTGACTTTTAATTTGGGTTCTGCCAATTTTTCTGTTTCAGCTATTGATTTTCCATAAAGATGACTCCTGGGTCTCTCTGACAGGCACTATCTGAGTGTTTTGCTTACTCCAAGAGTGGAAATATATGTTTTATTAAAAGTGTCAGAGCTCACTAATGAGGAGAAGGAGGAAAATCAATTGGCTGCTTATATCTTGATCACAAAGACAGGACTAACAAGTTCTTCATTTTGCTGCTGCGGGCAGGACGACAGGGCAGAATGACAAACGTGGCAGACAACAGCTATCAGCTCCTCTGCAGAGCTATCCTAGCTGACGAGAGCGGGGAGAGGGAATATATGGTGTTCGATTGCTTCAAACACATTTTATTTTTATTAATTCAAAGAGATTCATAGACTGCTATAAAATCCTATGGCTAAATTAGTGCATGATGCAAGGCTACTGACTACGGTCAAATCACAGATGCAGATAGAAGCAGGTTTAGACTTATATTCCTCAAATCCAGAGAGAAGTCTGGCATCTATTTGGGGTAGGAGTAGCTGAAGGGGTTCCATTTTTTCCATGTTAAATTGGGGGTTAAGGTTAGCATTTGAGAATTTTGGTTTGGTGCAAAGGTGACATCCCAGTCCCAGCAAAAATGAGGAGGGAACAAGCCCAGGCCTTCCTCCTTGCTGGGCAGAAAGGTCGTGCTCCATTTTCAGCTCGGCTGTGCCATATTTTCCTCCAACACCCTCTTCTTCCGCAGTTCCGTTCGGGGCCGCAGCAGCACCCAGCCCTCGCCTGCTCCAAGATAAACACACTCCAGAGCTGTGGAATACCCGGATACCATCGCACGTGCAGAAATCACTGTCGGACAGGAGGGTGCCGATTGCAACGTGCCAGCCTTGTTTTGTGCTCTACCATGGGCATCTGCCGTAGTCCGGGGTGACGGTAGGTGGGCCCCCGTACAGCTCCTCTTAGGTGCTGAAGTCCTCAGACCACCAAGATTGGGATAAAAGGCCAGGTCCAACTCCCAGCTCAAATCCCAGGATGGGGGATCCATGACATGAGCATCTCAGCACATTAATTCCCTGCAGAAACCAGTTGTTACTGAACTCATCTCTCTCCTGCCCCTTCCCCAAGCAAGAGCAGCTCCCCTTGGCTCGTACGTTGTCCTCCCCACCGCAGAGCCGCCCTGACCACGGCCTAGTTAATCTCTTGGCAGCTGTGAAATGAAGCGGTGAGCGCCAGCCGCCCTGAGAAGACGCATCGATCCCTTGAAGTGACAGCCTGCCGGCTCCCCCGGCGCCCGAGCAGCGGCTCGGGGCCGCTGGTGAGGATCTGGGCTATCATTCAATTAAAAAAGCTCAGCCGAGATGCAGCCGCTAAGCAGAGGTGCTAGCAATAAGGCTAAGCCTTGACGGCAAGATTTAATCGAGGGGTGGATAAACGTGTCCGCGGATGCAGGACACTGCTCCGGCATCGGCTTGGCGAGCCAGGCGAGACGGTCTCCCTTCGGCAATAAAACAGAGCCGGATGGTCGGGCCCCTCCGTGAAGCCAGATGGGCAAATCCCTTCCAATCCAAAAGGGAATCTGCTTCGCTTAATGGAGCAGTTGCCTTGACCAGGATGATGTGTGAGTTAGCAAATGCTCTGGACATGTCGGGATGCAGCGCCCGTCACAGCGGGGCCGAGCAGCACGGGGCTCTGGCCACAGCGCTGCAGGACGAAGCCCTTGGAAGAGGGAAGGTCTCCGGCAGCCTGCCAGGAAGCCCAGGAGATTCTGCTGCAGCTCCGGAACGCTCCGTGCTTTCCAGGCGGGAATAACGCCCATCCCGTGCAGCCCCATGGGGCCGGCCCGGTGTCTCCGGCTCCAGGCCTCGTGGCGGGCAGGCCGCAGGCCGGCCGGACAGAACAGTGCGTTGTCATGGCAACCGGCACGGAACCAGAACCAGAACCCGCCCCAGGACCCGCAGTGGGGCCTCCCACCGCCCTGCAGGCCCCAGGCCTGGGGCACTGTCTATGGAGGGGCCACAGCCATCCCCGTCCCCGCAGCACCCCCAGCCCCACAACTTTCCGGCCCTTTCTGAGGAAAAAAAAAAGGGAGAACAGACACCAAAAAGGAAAAGCACCATGAGGACATCCCCACCTTCCATCCCGTCTTGTCGCAGTGCAAATACTCCAAAGTGTCCCAAAACCTTCCGGCCCGGAGTGGCCACCCACCTTGGTGCTACCAGCAGCACTCGCTCTGATTTGGTTTTGTTTGTTTTATTTTATACTGTTTTTTCATTGCATTGGGGTGGCGTGGGCGATGTGACGATA